ACAGCAAACGGGTGAAACCCATCCGATGATATTGTGGATACTCTGCTGCCCTGAGTACGTGAAAATATTTTGATGGTTCTTAGCGCCACCTGTGACGTCATCTGTCAGATGACTGATGCCACCTTAATGTTTTCTCACTGGCACTGACCACAGCTATAAGTGGTGCTATGATATTGGCAAGGGACGAAAACTTTTGACACCCACACAGCTGCGATTGGGACAGAAAGACCACCTCTGGGCTATTGTGCTGCACATTATGTCGAAAATTTGAGCAGTCATAGGCGTTCGGATACTAAAAAAAAACCATGTCCGAAGAGCATTTCCCCAGGAGTCTCGGGAGACATTCATCTCATGTCACTGTGGTTTTTTGTTTCAACTGTATTAGCGTATTGCACGATATATTGCTGGATGTATAAATGTATTGGAAACAGTTGGAAATACATGAGTTCCGCCTGACAGTGCATGGCCAGCGTTGTACGGAAACGCATATTTGTACCAGTGCGGTTGCATGCTGATGTCTCAGCCGAATGGTGTCGGTGCCTTGCTGTTACGAGCTCCGCTGCCGAATGCTCAGTCAAATGCCAGTATAATTAGATCCGCCGAGCGGAGGGTATTCGGCAGCAACACGCAACAGTGCAGCTAATGGCGGTGCTGCGCTGCATGAGTGATTCGTAGGCGGTACACAGGATGGCTGCAGTTGGTTTCATGGTTTCATACAGTTGCCCCCCCCCCCCCCCCCCCACCTACATTGGGCAATTGGTTTCACAGTGTTCTGTTCGGACTGTCGAGGTCTGGCATCAATGCTGAAAGAAATTGAAAAGGCCGTGTTTTTCATGAGCAAATGCGCGCTGTATAGTTTGATATAAAGCAAATTGCAGTATGGCTTACAAAAAATCCACCCATGATGTGATGGTTTCTAAAGCTTATGGTGGATATTGGTGGTTATTTTTTTTTTGCAGTCGGCTTTTGACTATTGACCCCGTAAGTCTGGTAATGCTGTAGATTCTGATAAAAAGGGGCATTACTCACCATGACGTCTTGCGTATGGCACGCGCAAACGTACTTCATTGGCTCCACATTCTCACATTCAACATTCAATTTTCCAGGACGCGTATTAGCAAGAGAAGCAAGAATATTGCAATGCCATTCAGGCATGCATGTCGCCATAGCAGCGTCATTAAGATCTTGCCACCCCACGAGACGTTGAACAGGGTATTGTGTTATCTCTTATTGACAGCGTGCACATATTTAAAGCCCTTTACCGCCTTTCACGCGCTTTATATTTTGGAACCGTACTTGAACCCTAGCCACAAACACTATTGAAACGTCGATCATTCTTAAAGCACATCCTTACGTTTACCTGATGTATCTGATTGGCCAGTAACTCGCGTTAAAGACCTCAACATTGCATTTCATAAAAAACAGCTATCACATAAAAAAGCAAATATCTGCAAATATCTATCAGAAATGCAAAAACCGTTATTGTTCCCACCAGCTCATTAAATACTGTACTGACGCTTAATCAGCCAGTCATTTTTGTTCAAAACGAGTCCGGACTGGGGTGCAGAAAAACACAATTTTTTAGGAA